GCTGAAATCTCTTGTGACTGAATTACTGCTCTCCTTTGAACATCTACAGGTTTAAACTTCCTTGGCAGACAATATTTCAAATGAAATAGATCAAATAGATAAAAGCTATTTCTAACTTCAAATATATTATACAAATCTAAGAGAAAATACATCACTAAAAATATTTTTTTAAAAAAATTCCCAACACATCACATTATTACCTAAAATATTTAAAACTAGACGGATCAAGTTCCAAACACGTTTTATGATAAAAGAGAATGAAACAACTTAACCAAAAAATCACGAGAATAAAAAAAATTACCAAAAACAACAAAAGTTACAATGTGATTTTAGTGTACAAGAGCACTATTTTCTGATATTTTGAGTTGGGTTTTAAGCTGAGCAGAACACTGCACCAAAATCACCATCTACATTTATTGAGCACTAATAAGTAGAGCACCAAGCTAGATAAAAAATCCTGATCAAGTCAAATAATTAGTGTCAGATTTTCAGCTTAAAGTATAGTGGGTAAAATATTTACAGGTCCCTTTCACCCTAAAATTCCATGATTCTAGCTCTATGTAAGTAAGAAGTTGTGGGAGGACATTCTAGGTCTGCATATCACACATGAGATAATCCTTTCTAATCTGTATGCACTGCTTAATTAGGAAGTTAGAAACTCAGCAGTTTCTATAAATGGTCTAAAAATTCCAGTTATATTTATTGAGAACAGCCCCCACCTGAAAAATTCATGCAGAGATGACATACTATGTCACAGTATACTTTACTAGATCCTACAATGATGTACAGAAAACATTAATTCGTAGTGCTTAGTATAACATCTGAGTATCTTCATTTAGGCTTGGCCACAATAAACAATAATTCACTAGTAAATTCTAAGTAAGTTCTGTTGGGCTGAATTGTGACTGAAAAACACAGACGGACAAGAACCTAGACGAAGTTAGTGGTTATCTCTGAAGAGGGATGGTAGCAGATGAACAGGGTGGTTGGAGTTTCAAGGATTTGTTACCTATTTCTCCAAAAAAAAAAAAAAAAGAAAAAAGAAAGAAAGAAAGGAAATAGAAACTAAAAGCAGACAGCATTTTTTTTTCACCTATAACCTAGTAAAGACAAAAATATTATGACATCCCATTTTTTGAGGGGAAAAGGTGCCCTCCTTACACTGCTGATAGGAATATAAATGTTTAACAAATAAGTAACACCTTTCTGAAGAGCAATCTGGCAATACCTATCAAATACCTTAATTTTTTCATATCATTTGACCCAGATTCCATTTTCAAAGTATTTATGTATGGATGCTCACCAGGTATTTTTAATAATAGTGAAAAGTTTTAAACAGTCAAAATACTTAATAACGGGAATGATTCAATACAATATTAATTTTCTTAGTTTTAATCATTGTGCTATGGTCAACTGTACTATAGTCTCAAATAAAACATTAATAAAGAAAAAACCACTATACTGCACTACATCTTTAGGAGCAATCACTTATCTGTAGAGTCTGGGCATATGGTCTATTCAAGGTTAATTTACTTAACCTAAAAGTCTAAGTTCACACTCTGACGGAAAACCAAAAACCTATTACCATTAAGTCAATTCAGACTCATAGCAGCTCCCATTGCATTTCCAAAATGAAAGTACACTGCCTCATCTTCTTCCTGCAGAGCAGCTGATGAGTTTGAACTTCTGACCTTCTGGTTAGCAACCAAATGCCTTATCCACTGTGTGAGATCCTTCACGTTCTGACAAGTGATTAACAATCACAAATGCATTTCTAAATCAAGCTGGTTTCTTGAATTACATGGTATCTTCGTTATGATTTCTGACCTAAACAGGTACCTTAACACTTGATCTCTAACTACTGTCCTGTCTTTTTCACATTTTGAATACTAAATTCAATCCCTGATTACAATCTCTAAGAATAATATATTCATTGAAAGAACACATAAGTGAGGACAGGGGTAATGCCAAAGGGTACAGAATATATTAGATAAATCAGCAAAATAATCTGAGAACATACTGTATTAATAATTACTAATTACCTTCTCTCTCACATACACACTTCACATTTGCAAACATATCTTCATAAAATGTAAACATGAAGAGGAATCTCAATAAGGAAAATCGTTTTGTTGGTTGCCATCTAGTCATGCCGACTCATGGTGACCCCAAACACTTCATAAGGTTTTCAAAGCTATGACCTTTTGAAAGCAGATCACCAGGCGTTACTTCCAAGGAGCTTCTGGGTGGGCATAATCCTCTAACCTTTCTGTTAGTAGTCCAGTGCTTAACCATATGGGCTACCCGGGGGCTCCTCAGTGAAGAGCATAGAGTAAGCCTTTTAAAATTCTTCACAAAACATAATGATAATAAACAGGAAAATTTTTCATGAAGAAAATACAGAACACTTCATAAAAGCAAACACTTTTTATCAGTTTTATAATCCATTTATTCATACTTCTAATTTATTCCAGGAAAATAAATGTAAGTCTCAGCTAATGCTGTTTGCTTAAGGATTACTATTCCTAAGTGGTGATCAAACTACATACAAATTTAATAAATATTTAGTTAGCCACTATCACAGACCCACAAAAGGAAGACTGGGCAATCTACTTTTTAAGATTTACGACCTTGGAAACCCAAAGGGGGTCACTATGAGTCGGAATCAACTCAATGGCAGTGAGTTTGGCTTTTTTGATTATTATAGACTAGTCATTGAATAGGGAACTTTAAAATGGTCTTTTGACAATTAACTCTATCCAACATTGAGGGATGTTCACTTAAGCCACAATCTAGATCAACAAATTCCAACAGAAATATAATCCAAGCCACATAAATAAAAATAAATTTTCTAATAGCTGCTGCATTAAGAAACTCTAGTGGTGCAATGGATAAATCATTAGGCTGCTAACCAAAAGGTTGGCAGTTCAAACCTACCAGCCACTTTGCAGGAGAAGCATGAGGCAGTCTGCTTCTGTAAAAATTTACAGCCTTAGAAATCCCATGGAGCAGTTCTACTCTGTCCTATAAGGTCACTATGAGTTAGAAATGACTAGATGGCAGTGGATTTTTTTTTTTTTTTAGTAGCTGCATTAAAATAAAAACAAGATATTAATTTTAATAATATATATTTAATCTAATACATGCAGAAGTTATTTTAAAAGATAATCAAACTTAAGAAAAAAAAAATCAATGATTTTTTTTTTTTTGTATACTGAGTCTTCAAAACCCAGTTATATATTATATACTCAAAGCATCTCAATTTAGACTAGCCACATTTCAAATACTTCTTGGTCAGTACAGGGAGCTCTAGCGGCATAGTGCCTAAGGCATTTGACTGCTAATCACATGGCTGTTGGTTCAAACCCAACAGTCACTCCTTGGAAGGAAGATCTACCACTTGGAAACCCAAAGAGGGGTCACTATGAGTTGAATCACATCAACAGCAGGGAGTTTGGTTTGTTTTTTTTTTTTTTTGGGCCAGTAGAAATCTAGAAGTTATTTCTTAAAAAGAATACACTGAGTTATATAGCTAGATTTTGATTTTGCTGTATTAATAAAATTAATTATCCTTTCTACTTGGAATCAATACATTCTACTTTCTTTGAAATCTGTTTTTTCACTAAGCAATCATCTCAGAGATTATACTATACCTGCTAAGAGAAGCAAAGACTAAGTATGATGAATTAAATTAAAACTTGTTGGGATTGCAAACTTTGTTGAGAATGTTTAGGAACATATAATACCCTCTCATAAAAACCAAATACACTTGTTAAAAGTAGACACAAAGAAAACATAAGGGATCATCTATTGGGCCTCCCACTCAGGTCTTAGTGCAGACCAAAGTGTGATTAAAACAAACAAATCGAAGTCTACTCACCCAAACACAGCTTGGACTCGTAGAATAAATCATATCACTTATATTTAAATAGAGAATGCTTTGCATTCCTGCAGATACTATGTTACCCAACACAGCAAGAGAGTGAACATTCAAATCTAGTTAATCAATAATTTCAAAAGTTTCATTTAAAGCAGGTTTATTTTCCAAATGTAGATATGTATTTTCATTATAACATGTAAGTGTAGCTTTTCCTAGTCATTCAGTAAAGGATAGTTCCTTTTTACAGCAAATTTATTGTATTTCAAATGTTAGGGATTAAGAGAAAAAAAAAAAAAAGACCCTTGGCTATGGTTTACCCTTGGCTTAATTCTTCAGCAGAATTATAAATAGTATCACTTATAAAGAGTAACAAACTCAAGGTTTCTTAATAGGTTGGGCCACTTTAAAAGCATCATTTTCACTCACTTCTTTATAACACTGTGCTTGGCACATGGTTTGTGCTCAACAAATGTTTGTTGAGAACGGATGAATATTAAGTAACAGATCAAGTAACTGGCAAAAAATATTAAAACGTCTAGGTTTCCAAAATGAAATATTAATAAGTGGACCCTTTCAATTAAGATTCATATGAAAATGGAAACTGTACTACAATCTAGTAAACAAACACATTCCTGTTATTTAATACAATACCCCTAAAGTATAGATATTATCACCACCTTTTAATACATGAAGGTGAGGTTCAAATGATTAAATAATACCATTAAGTAGTGGAGCCTGATTTCAAGCCCAGGTCCTCTAACAAAACCGTACGTGTAGGTGTATGTGTGTTGGAAAGGGATGTGCGGATGTTGCTTCAGAGGGAAAACACACAAGGAATAGTTTCCAATTACTCATAACTTAAGAAATTCGAAGCCATTTAAATACTGTTTATTTATAATAATTAGTAAAATTAAATTATAACAATGTTGATCAGAACTTATCTCACGGGCAGTAAGGCTGCATTCACCTTAAAACGTCGCTCTCTCTCAGGAGAAAAAACAAGCCAAGCTAAGAGAGACTCATCTTGGAGCTTGAGAGGAAAGGCGACACCCACCTAAGCCCTCTGGGACACCCGTCCCTAAACCCCGCGACAGCGCCGGGCAACCCAGCTCCAGCCTACCTGACCGGTTCCCGCCACCTCTTGAGCCAGTTGCAGCAATTGGCCATCAGACTGAAAATCCCAGGCCGCTCCTCCCACCACCTCCCATCCGAGCCCGGAGTGGGGATGGGCCCCTAGCTGCTCCAGGCCAAGTTCTGTGGGGCGCCGCAGCTCGAGGAGCCCGTGAGCGGACAGGCACGGAGAAGAGGCTGCAAACTAGTTGAAGGTTGCTGGCCCGCGCCCTAAGCCCTGCTAATAGCCACAGTCCGCGAGCAGACAACGACTACCCTCTTGCCCAAGGACTGTGGGGCCAAAAGATACCACCAGCAGCAGGAATAGCGAAGGCCGACCAAAGAATCCCGAGTCGACGTGCTGACGTTTCTCCGCGGCGCCGAAGACCCTCCCCAAGCACCGCCCATGAGCTTCTCCAATTATCATTGAAGGACTTGCAGTGGGGGCCTCTGAGTGGCTGAAGGAGCCCAGCGCCCCGCCCATTCCAGAGAGGTAGAAGGAAGAATGGGGCGTGGCCTAAGAGGAGGCGGATCTCGGGGGATGGGGGTGGAGAAGTTTCTCGTAACCAGGCAACAGGAGCTTGGAGAGATAACTGTGGGATAAGGGACCCATCCCAGGTGCCTGAATCTATCTTATAAAGACCGAGAATACTGCTCGTGTCTGCCGCCAATATCCCTGCTGAGATCCAGGGAGCGCAAATCTTGTGTCCTGTTCTGTTTTGTTATGTTTTATGAAGCAAGGATGGTAATCCTCTGGGATTCCATCAACCTTTGGCAGCACAAGTCCAGAGAATTACCCCTGTACTCTGGGGCAACTATCATAAAGAATAGGGCTGTGTGTTGTGGCGGGGGGGGGGGGGGGGGGGAGAGGAACGCGCTTGCAAAATGATCTCAATCGTTCAGATGACAATGACGTTTTAATCTGTATAATGTGAAAGCCATAAAAAATGAAATGAAATTGTATATTTGCTGTGGGGTTTTATGATTACAGAAAGAAATATATATGCTCACTCTAGAAAAGGTGAAAAACACTTAAAAGGGAACAAGATGAAGAGAGTAAGATCTCCAACTCACCACCCAAATATAACCAGTGTTACATTTTGATATATGTTTTTCCCAGAATGTTTACAGTTATATAGATGGTTAGATATTTGGTTTCCTAAAGATGAAGATGATGCTCTATTGGCTGTTCCATGACATATATCATTATATTTAAAAATATGTAATATCTGCATTTTTATTCTTTAGAGAAGAAGTGACAAGTATGTGACTATAGAAAAAAAAAAGGATAGTATTAAGGGACCTGTGTGTCCAGCCAGTTTATACTAAAATATATGGTTTCAAATTCTGGTACTAGGATAGCGGGCCAAGGTAAAGCCACAGTTTTACATTTACAATTATCCCAATTTAATATTGTCATGTTGACAACATTTAAAACCAAATATATTAAATTAGTGGTGCCCAAACACTATAGCTCTATTTTTACTGCTCTCCTTTTTATCAATTTACTCTGATTGGGCTCTGTCCCATTAAACAATTCCCCCTGTATGTGCGTATGTGTGTGTGTGTGTGTATTTACTTAATTTATTTAATTATTTATATTTGTATATATTCTCTGTCTTCTTGATTACCAAATCTGTTCTCACATTTTCTTTTGCATCATTGCATTTAATACAGTTAACTTTCCAAAATCATTTTTATCACTTGGCTTTTCACAATTATGCATTATTCCTGTTCTCTTCTGATCTCACTGGCCATTCATCCTCCAGCTTCCTAAATGTATTGTCCAAGATCTGCCCTTATCCTTCTGCTTTACTTTTAAAAACAAACATGTCACCTTGGAGAATTCAACTATTACTTTCATGTCTAAAGGATATGTGGATGTTCCTTGGGCATTTCCAAAAGTACTCTCAATACCTTTTTTTTTCAAAACTATTCTCAGCCCCAGGCATACAGGTGAGGAAGGACAACTCAGGGACGCCCACGCAGCAGGCTGGAAGAGCGGGAGAAAGGGGATTAAAAGCCAGGAACCCAGAGAGAAGAGCAATCAGCCAAAGGGATTAGGTGAGGAGAGGACACTCAGGCCTGCCCAAAGCAGCAGGACCGGAGAGCAGGAGAAAGGGGATAAAAGCCAGGAACCCAGACAGAGGAGCAGTCAGCCCCAGGGGCAACTCAGGGACGCCCAAAGCAGCAGGCCAGAAGAGCAGGAGAAAGGGGATTAAAAG